TGGTGCTTAGCAGGTGAGGCAGAATGAAATCTACCCTGAGAATATGAACCAGTAAGTAGCCCTCACATGGGTTCACAGCCTGAATTCCTAGCACTAAGGTGGTCCAAAATAACTCAACTTTATATTAAAATAGTATTAGATAAAACAGTCTTTACAACAGAAAGCATTTCTTGGGTAGAGTCTCATAATAAAGGCTTCATCAGGAAAATGTAATTATCCTAAACTTATATACATCTATTGATACAATCTGAGAATGTAGGAAGCAAAACAGAATTATAAAGAGAAGGAAACATCCATATATGCAGTAGTAGAGGTAACACATCCTTCTCTTGGTCTGGAACCAGGCAGACAAAAAAGAAAAAAAAAAAAAAAGGAAGGATACAGAAATCTGAATGAGACTTACAAATGTAAGTTTCAGACACATTTAAAACTCCATACCCCAGAACTGTAGAACGTACGCTGTTTTTGAGGATATATGGGACATTTATAATTATTGATCACATACCTTTAAAATCCCAATATTTAAAGTCACACTACAGTCCATTTAAATCAGGATCTTTGGGGGTGGGACCCAGACCCAGGCATCACCATTTTTAAAGCTCCCCCACCCCCACCCTTGAGAGCAATGTGCAGCTAAGGTTGGGAACCACTCACATATGGCATCATTTATAGCCTTCAGTGGTTGTATCAGAAAATAAGAAAGGAAGAAAGTTAATGACTTATTTTTTTAAAGCTTTTATTTATTCATTTGAGAGAGAACAGGGGTGGTGGTATGCGGGGAGGGATTTGCGGGAAGGGCAGAGAGAGAGGGAGAATCTGACTCCCAGCTGAGCCTGGGATACCGGGCTCAATCCCAGGATCCCAAGATCAGGACCTGAGCTGAAGTCAGATGCTCCCACCCAGGTACCTCAGAAGGTTAATGATTTAAAGAGTTCACCTTAGATTAGAAAAGAATGAACAAATAAAGCCAAGAAAATTAGGAGAAAGATCAAAGAGCAAATAGCAAACCAGGAAATATATTAAAGATGATCCACAGAGCTCAAGGCATATCTTATATCTTCTAAAAACATCAGTTCTAACAACTTAAATGTGAAAAGCAAAACTATAAATGTTTTAGAAAACAGTCTAGCAGAATACATTTACAACTTTGGTATGAGAAGAATTTTTTCAAAGAAACAAAATCACAAGCCACAAAGAAAAGGTGGATAAATTCATTGCATTAAATTTGAGAAATCTCTTTGTGTCAAAAGATAACCATAAAGAGAATGAAATGTCATAATTGGAAGATACATACATATTTGCAATATATAAACTGGAATATATGAAGAACTCCTATGAATCAACAAGAAATTGACAACTCCCCACCAAACAGACAAAAGGTACAGAAGTGGAACCTGAATGCCCAATAGGTATGAAAATGTGCTCAACCTCATTAATAATTAATGAGAGGCAAAGTATAAGTATAATGATGTTATTTCATAACCACTGGGTTGTCATGTAAAAAAAAAAAACAATAAAAACAAAACAAAAAAACCTGACTATCACATGTTGGCAAGAATATTGGATGACGGGTAATCTTTGCTGTGGAAGGGTAAACCAGAGCGATCATTTTGGAAAGCTGTTGACATTGCCTAATTTTGCTGAATACCCCTATATTGTAGGACCCAGCAATTCCATCACCAGGAATATATGTTAGAAAAAACCTTGGATCAGTGAACTTGAAGATGACATAGGAATCTTCATAGAATATAGCTTGTACACCTAAAATCTGGAAACCAACTAAATAATTAGCAACTGAATGGATAATTACTTTGTGACTAATAAACATAATGAAATATTATATTCCAGTGAAAATGAATAACTATCACCTAGTCCAGCAATCCAAATTCTTTTGTTAGCTGAATGATGCAACACCCAGAAGTATGTTGTATGATTCCAATCACTAAGACTCCCAAACTGGCAAAATCAAGAAATACATATGTATTGCTTATGGCTTTATATAAAGTGGTTAAAATCCTAAAAGGAAAAGAAAGAAATGGAATGATTAACACAAAAGTCATAGTGGTTATTCCTTCCAGAAGGGAGGGAAAAGCAGTTGGGGAGGAGTCCACGGGGCCCTGTTCAGGTATTAGTAATGCTCAGGGATTAATAAAACAGGTGTCTTCTTTTTATTATTAAAATGGTACATTTGTTTCATATATTCTCTATCATGCGATGTAATTCATAACTGAAAAATAAAACACTGGAAGAATGTGTAAGATAAGACCTGAGATAGATTTAGGGTTGAGAAAGAAATGTTATCCGTTGTTAACACTCACTCTGAAGACTACATCTGACCTAAAGCCTTGTGTTTCTTTGTGGGCATCAGATACACATGAGGTCACAAGTGAATTCTACTGCTGCTGAAAGGTGAGGATAAGGCACGGAAGGCAAATAAAGCAGTGGAAACCACTCAGAATTAAGTGGGAGGCAGAAAAGGGAAGAGCAGAGGGCTGTGATCAGGATAAAACACACTCAGTGGTCTTAACAGTGATTCACATCACTCACATCAGCTCGAGAGGGGCTCCCAGAGGGAGACATGTTTTTCACCCCCCATGACAACTTGCTGGACACCTGGACGTGAGCGGAGAGCAGCAGGCAAATGGCAGGCTCCCACTGTCCACAACGTGCTTCAGGAGACGCCTTTAAGGCTCAGCTCAAGGCTGGGAGGGCTTGCCCCAAATCCTCCCACCTTCCCCTTCACGTTCCCTCACACTCCCTCATGCTCCCTCAGGCTCCACACACTCACTGTCTGTCACTCACTGCACTTGTGTCCATGAGTATACCCTCTTACCAGAACACAAGGCTCTCAAGGCCAGGTGCTCTTCCTCTTGGACACCTAGGGAACAGCATGGGGCTGGAGGTTACTTAGGGAGTTACAGGTGTGAGGTTAAGAAACCACATTAAGTATTTTACAAGCAATTCTAGGTACCCTAGAAACTTGACATTTCCTTCAGGAAGTAAGGCACTGATTGGTGGTGAGCTTGACACATGACCTGAGTAGCCGTCTTCTTCATCCCCTGGAGGCTGCTCTCAACCTGAGTGATTTTACCTGCCTTGCAAAAGCCTCCTCCATCAGGGCACATTCCTCAGCATGTGTCCTTTCCAGCCTCAAGGGTCTCTTCCTTGCCTTTTCTACATACACACATTCTCTTGGTGCTCCATTGATTATGCCCTACTATATCAGTTACCGACCTTTTCTAATATATATTTAACCTCTCCCTTTCTTTTGGCTCCTTCTTCATGCTCAGGTGTTTCTTGCATTTATAGAAGCTTGCAGCCTCCACAGTCATCACCCCTCAGCTGACTTCCTCCTCCTATCACTTCTCCATCACAGCCAAGACTCTTGAGGTTGTATTTTATTCTCTTTGTCTCCACTAGTCAACCTTCCACCCGCCAAACTACCAAAATGCCCCCTCTTACCATGTTCCTAACCACTTGTGACCTGACCTTCTCCTTCCTAGGCTGTTGGGCTACATCTCCTTGGTCTCCTCTTTCCCCACCTCACAAACATTTCTTCTCTGTGTTCTACCACCGTTTTGTCAGGGTTGGGTCCCTTGGGTGGTATTCCCAGCCTCCTTCCCTCTATTCTCATTCCACACATCCATCCTTTATGATCTTTTTCCTCCCCATTTTTCATTTCTTCCTATGAGCAAATGATTTTTGTTAAACATTATTTGTTTGTTTGCTTGTTTGTTTGAGAGACAGGGAGAGAGAACCTCAAGCAGATTCCCTGCTGAGCACAAAGCCAGACACAGGGCTCAATCTCACGACCCCAAGATCATGACCTGAGCTGATATCAAGAGTTGGACGCTTAAGCACTGAGCCACCCGAGGGCCCTTGAGCAAATGATTTCTGATCTCTGTCTCCAACATATGCTTGACATGGAGTAGTGTGAAGCCTCCTACTAAAATGTACAGCATGTAATTAAATACCTAGCTCTTGCATTAACACTGGATGTGGCACGAGTTTATTCGATACCCAATTTTGCACAGAGACAAAATTTAGAAATCATTACTTGGGAAAAAAAGAAAGAAAACAGAAATCATTATTTGGAATATTAGAAAAATCCTAGAGTGAAGACTTTGGAAACAAAAGGTTGGCAAAATTATTTGGCTTTGGAATCATATTATTCATAAAATAGTCTTTCTCCATGATGCAACCCATTATACACTTCAGTTTTTCTGGACTGTGAGCTATGATATAGATTAGAGGTTGGTAAGCCATGGCCCGCAGGACAAATCTGGCCCACCATCTGTTTTTGTAAATGAAGTTTTATTGGAACACATATCCATCCATTCATTTACATACTGCCTATGGCTGTTTTCATACTCTAATGGCAGAGCTGAGCTGTTGCAACAAAAGACAGTATGGATTACAAAGCCTAAAATATTTATTCTGGCCATTTATAGAAAAAGTGTGCTGGCCTTTATATAGATCAATACCTTTTTCACTGTTAACATATCCCTTTATATTATTCATTACTATCTTTAAAATTTTTATTTTAAGTAGGCTCCATGCCCAACATGGGGCTTGAACTCATGACCCTGAGATCAAGAGTCAAATGCTCTACCAACTGAACCAGCCAGATACCCCTTAACATACCCCTTTAAAATGATAACTTGCATAAATTATATTTTCTAAAGGTAAGGATAAATCATGGCTGTGGGACCACCCCACCCTCAATCCAGGCACGAATGCAGACAGGTTACATGGTAACTGAGAATGAATTTTTCCGAGACTTACCTGAAAGAACCTCACTGATATTACTAAATATACCACTTAAGTGGCTTAAATAACCAAAGTAGAAAATTGTGGACCTATCTGGTACTATCTAGCCTCGTGGGATGACTGTGTGTGTGTATATGGGGGGAGGAAGGGTAAGTGAATACTGAAGCTTCGAGAAAAGCAATAAAATCATGAACAAATAAAATCATGGCTAAAACCACAAGGGCTCTTGCCTTGTCTGCAGGTGTTAACCTGGCCCAGGGCTTGTCTGCCCGGCGATCGTAGTCGGGAGAATCAGTGACTTCTACATACTCATTAAACCGCAGGATCCTTCGAGCTTGTAGCTCTGCCACCGTGGGTCTCAGGCTGAGCTGCAGGGGGATAAGGGAAAAGAAAGGACAAGTTTAGGAAACCATTTTCAGCCTCATGGTGGCAAGTTTTCTATAGAGAACTTCAAAGTGATGGTTAAATAAGGTCACTTTCAGATATCCAAAAGGAAAAAAAAAAAAAAAGGCAGCAGCATCTTGGGAGTTTCTAATGAGAACCCGAAAGCAGTGTGCCCTAATTCTGAGACTATAAAAATCATCATTGTTAGATAGGTCACAGGCTTTGGCAGCCTTCTGCGTTATGCTATTTTCCACACCTTGCCTGGCATGAAGACACCTGTCATCTCTGACACAAGGAGCACGAAGCAACACAGACACAATAGCAATCCAGATAGAGGCTAGCTGCTTTGGAGACTGAATCATCCAGACAAAAGTACTCTTAAAACTTCTAGAAATGAGATCTCTGCTCCTATTATATGAAACTCCTATATTCAGAAACACACAAAGTTATGACAAAGAAATGGTCTGGTGAAGGCTGTGCTTATAGCAGTCTTCTGGGTGAGACTAGGGACCCATGCCCAGATTTGACTTTACCCTTGCTTGCTACAGAAGTTGCTGTGCAGAGATCAGCAGGGGCATGGAGGAGGACATTCATTGGGCCAGAACTGCTTAAAACAGGCTGGGATGATTAAGGTACTTCTAATGACTTGGATCCCTCCTGTGGTCTTTGTCAAATTCAAATTCATAGTTCTATTTAATTCACTCAGCCCTGTGTATTTGCTCTCCTTTCCCAAGACCAAGAATAGGAGAGATGGTTCTGAGAGACTAAAGAGTCCTGGTCCTGCTGACAGGCATTATCTACTCTCTTCTCCTGAGGTTCATGCTTCTGTGGCCTCTCTCGGTCTGAAGATGTCACAGACCCAGGCCTCTCTTGTACCCATGGGGTCCACTCCCAGTACCTTTTCTATCTGTATCTGTACTTGCATATAGCCGGCCCACCCCCTATCTAAGTGGTCCTCTTTGGAGGGGTTCCTCATTTGCAAAGACTCACTTTTTAAAAAAAATTTAAGTACTATGACACACAAAAATGATGTTCTTGTGGTAAAAAAACAAAGAAACAAAACAAAAAAAACCCTTTTCTGAGCCTCAGTTTCCTCTTGGGTAAAATGAGTGGCTGACCTAGGTCAATACTCTTAACATTCAAGTCCCTCATGGACTCTTAGAAAGCCTGTCTCTATACTCTGAGCTCACTTGAACTGGGATATGGCAATGGCGGCTCCTTCTAGCTTCATAAAGCCCTGGTAGGCAAGGGACAGAGGGAGGAATGATCTAAGTGGCTCTCTTCTACTCTCACTTGTTGTCTCATCTCTCCTGCTAGCTTCTTACTGCTTCTCTGGGGCAGGCGGGGCTAAGGAAGTCGAGAAATGACTGCCTCTGGGAAGTGCCCAAAGACAGGTGACCAGAGACCACAGAAGTCCTTCCTCCAGTCTTGCCCTTTAGGACTGTGCTATTAGTGCTATGGAATGTCCTGGATCTATGGCAGAGAGTTCTGTAGAGTGGAGGCCAGTGGGACTCAGGGGCTAGGGGTCAGGGGTCAGGGTGGGTTCTGTTGCCTCCTGGCGGGGCTCAACTGGCTGCAGAAAAGATAATTACGTATGGCAGGGGTGAGCCTGGAACAATGAGGAGAGGCTATTGCTTATCCGTAGCCAGTAACTTGGCAGCCATGGAATGTTAGAAGAGCCGCCTCTAGCAATTCAGTTTACAGAATCTTTCTCAGCTTGATCATTACCTGTCATTTAGAGTCTTTGGAAAAGAAAAACGAAAAGATGAATTAAGGATCTTTTCCCCTAAAAATCAAAACCAAAAACTCTCAAAATATAATCTTCAACTTTTCCATGGGAACGGGGTTTCTTCTCCCTGCCTTAGAATGCCTTTGTTGTGGACTCCCCAGCCAGCCCAGATAAATGTGGGTCAGGTCACATGCCTCCCCGCAGATGTCATATTCTACTCATCCTGCCTTAATAAGGTGTGAAAGGTATATCTGAAGAATTACTGAATACAGACTTATAATGAAATATCAACTCTGATAGGTCTTAATTTTTCCAAAGACTATTATTATTTTAACATTTACAGAAAAGAGTGATGGCCCAGGTATCAGATTTATATATATATTTTTAAAGATTTTATTTATTTATTCATGAGACAAAGAGAATGAGAGAGAGAGAGAGAGAGGCAGAGGCAGAGGGAGAAGCAGGTTCCCAGCTAATCACAGAGCCTGATGCAGGACTTAATCCCGGGACCCCAGGATCATGATCTGAGCTGAAGGCAGCTGCTTAACCGACTGAGCCACCCAGATGCCCTCAGATTTATATTTTCATGAATGCGTGGAAACAACGGAGTCTTGGAGGTGAGCTACTTGTCAATGTGGGTATCACTGTAGCAGGCAGGTTGGGTGATCAAGTTCACTTAATTACTGACCCAGCTCACATGGAATAGTGGCAGATCTCCAATTTCATATTTATTTAATATTTCCAAAACTGCATAGAAAACACGAGTATTTTAAAAAACTATATTGAGATGTTAATAATGGTTATCTCTGAATAAAAGACATTTATGTGATTTTCTTTTCGTTTTTGTTCCTTTCTGCACTTTAAAAAAATCACATAGCTTATATGTTATTTTCATAATCAGTAAATGTAATTTGAAAAATCTTATTGCTAGCTTTTCAAAATTAGCATAGCATGTAATAATTCATATCCTATGCATTACATTGATTTTAATGTCTATGACTGGTTACTGGCTAATAGGAATAATTATTCCTCAATGTTAGATTTAAAGGTAAAGAGCTGATCTGCATTTAAATAATGAAGTAGATCCCAAAACACACATGCTTACTAACAATCATAGTTTCTTTACCTTTCTGCTGAGTCTGCGCTTAAGTTCCATTTTTGCTTCTTGTTCTTCTTCTTCATTCTTTTCTGTTTATTAATGGGAGTGGGAGAGGAAAGGCATGAAGACTTAGTTACTATGAATGATTTTATAATCAGAAAAACAGATCAGGCCACAATTATTTGACTTAGATAGTGACCAAACACTCCACCATCTTTAAAAAGTTGTCAAAAGATTTGGCAGAAAAATTGTTCATTAATTTGTGTGTGTGTATTATATATCTTATATATTGTGTATATATATACACAATATATAAATATATATAATATATACTATATGTAATATACATATTACAAGTTTATATAAGTTTTATATATATAAGTATATATAAAAAGTTTATATATATATATATATAAACTTTTTCTCCTTATGGGATTGCTTTCCTTACTAACTGTAAACCTTTTAGCTTCCTGACTTCATATTCTATTCTGAAAAACATTACAGGAGTGCCCACACTCTGGTGAAAACCTTTCATTGCTGAACATCTCTTGGCTTATAAGCACCATTTATCAGAATACAGATAAACATTTACTTCTGGATCTGGCCCTTACATGAAAATCTGAGACATATCAAAAGAGCAAATTAGAACCATCTGATGCATGTCTGAGTTGATTTCCATTCAAATCCAACCAAAATACTTGATTTGTCTGCTTTGGTTTCCACAGAAGCAAAATGCAGTCATTTCTTTGGACTCTGCCTTCAAACCAGAATGTTCTGAATGGGGTTATTATGGTGTACTGTTGATGGAGATGATTTATTTTCTTGTGACTTTGACTTTCCAAAGTCATCTGTTTCTCTAGTGCTTCACCAAATGGTACAATTTAATGGCCAATTTAATGAATGCTGTCCAATGGATGGGATGAAGAGAAAAATGACCAGAAATTTTAAAGAAATAAACACCCCTTTCAGATTTTCATGGTTGCTTACTTGATGAACTTCTCTCTGGTGCTTCCAGCAGCTCATCGTTTGTTCAATAAGTGAGCACAGATTTTCACTATTTGGACGCCAATTCTTACAAAAGACTATCTTTTAGAAGATGCTGTTATGAATTCTACTGAAGGAACATCACACGATCTAAAGGCTCAACCAAAAGGTTGAAAAAGAAAAGTTTCCTCTATGAAAAGGTAAATTTATTTTTAAAGTTCAAATAGACTTCTTACCACTAAGATTGTTTTTTATCATGAATAAAGTATCAATATTCAGTATTTGTACCAACTGTATTTGTTAACCAAACATGCTAAATTATCTATTAATTTTCCTTATTTGGACAGGGAAAAGTTTCAGTGTTCTTCCAAAATACTAGTTTTAATTCATAAGAAAGAGGATGATCTGGCCGGTTATTTAGACAACGAGTAAGCATAAACTGAAAACACGGTGCAAAGACAAGGAACACTCGGTTAGTACGCTTTAGTGAAGTGCCTGTGTGCCAAATTTTGTTATAATTCAGATTTCTTCCTATGCAAACACTGTAGGTTTTTCTAACTGCTTCATAAAATGTATGTTCTTTGGTATTCTTAAAATACATACTTAGGGTCAAATATTTACTTTACATGAGTTGGGTAAGGCATATAGGCTATAAATTATATATAACAGACACGAGCCAAACTTGTGGTCATGTGACTCAAACAAAGGCTTTTCAAGGTCAGCCTATGACGATATTACTACTAAAAGGGAAAATATAATCCTCAAAGCATTTTAGTCAATTCCTCCTATATGGTGACTGTGCTCTATTTTTAAAGGTACTTTCCAAAGACAGAAAAGTGGATATCAACTACGACTCAAAGCCAACAAATGCTTTAATTTTCACGAGGGAATATTCAATAACTTCATCTTACTAAGAAGCATAGTGTCCACCTGGGTGTTACCTATGCAAAAAGAGAAGGGCCAACTGCAGTTGCAGGAATTAAATAAACAGGATTTTACCACCTGGAATTTGTTTTAACATCAGGAGCTGACTTCTTTACGTGTTCCATATTTGGAAAATGTACTTTTAAAGAAGTTAAAGAAAGGGAGAGGTGGAGGGAAGTCAACATGACTGCTGTTCCACATTTTTCTAAATAACTTGTAAAATTTCTTACAAAGAATCAAATCTTAGTTTAAAAAACTTCACTGAGTTTTTTAAAGTTCTCCCTTGTTTGCCCCTATTAGACAGCCAATTACAAAGTAGGATGTAAACCTTTCTGGTCCCTTTAAACAGACTGGAGGGATATTCATGAAGGAAGTGACCTAGCTCACTGACAAATCTTGCCTTCGGTAAGGCCTCAGAGCAGGGCTGGGGGCGGGGAGGGGTTTTTAGAACAGCCACAGGAAGTGTTTGCCGTCACAGACGCACAAACAATACATGTGGTTTAACAGCCATGGGCACTGCAGGAAACCTGCCCAGCTAGCAAGTGTTGCCCACAGCATTTTATGGATTAGCTAAAAGAAGACAGAAAAGCATCAAAACATTGGCACCTGGAATATTAGAGTCTTGAGTCATCGATTTGGATACACTAGGTTAAAAAAAAACACTATTTTTTTGTGGGTTTCTCTTTTGGCTGATTTATGTATTTTTCGATAAGGATGTTTTTAACAAAAGAAAATGCACTTATAAACCTACTTTGAAATGCATCAAAAAATAACATGGATCAAAGGAAGGCCAGATATGTGATAAACCAAGATAGGATAAAATGTTAAAAAAAAAAAGATGTGATAAGATGTTAATGGCAGAATATAAATAGTACATATATGGGTGTTTACTGTAAAATTCTTTTTTTTCTTTTATTTATTTATTTATTTATTTATCTATTTATTATTTTTTAAAACTTTTAAGTGTACCAGAATTCATTGTTTATGTACCACACCTAGTGTTCCATGCAATAAAATTCTTTCAACTTTTCTCTATATTTAAAAAATTTAATAATAAATGTTGGGAAAAAAATACAAGCAGCACTCAATACAGTGACACTTTTTTTTTTTCTACAGAAAATATAGCTGGAATTATAGTTACAACTAAATAGATCTATAACTTCTATCGCGGCCCTATAAAAGGTATTCCATGAACATTTCCTCAAAGGCAAATGTTGACCTTCCCAGCATCAAAACTTATTTTCTCCTTTTAACAATATTAAGGAATCGGTTCTAAAATGTACAACTAAATATAACTTTCTATGTTCTTTTAAAAAGCCTCAATGCTGTAAAATAGGAAAGCGATGGAGTAAGGTAGATGCTGGGAATGAAACACTAAGAGACAAAATGTGTCCTGTGGGCTCAGTGAAAGCGATCAGCACTGACTGCCACTTGACTCATGTTTATAAAACTAACGGTGAGCTTGGAGTTGACAACTGCTGAATGAGTTTGTGCTGTGAATGAGTTTCCTGGTCTGTCAAGACAAGGTGACCTAGTTAAAATAAGTGCCCTTAAAAAAAAAAAAACCACACCATGTCACACACAGACTTTTCTTTAAAGAGTCAGTCATACTGCTTTTGAACAAAAGCCGGAGATGAAATACATGGACAAAAAACAGCAATCTGTGTGGAAGAAGCCAGAGCCAAAGGGACTGAATAAAGTATTGTAAACTATGCCGCTGAGTTCCCTGGGGTGGCTCAGTGGAATGCCCTGGATGACCTCCACCAGTTCTCCTTTCTGCTTCCCTTGGCCATACAATACTATGTCAGGAGATCATAAGCCAGTTATCAGCCTCTCCAGACTGGAAATGTGTCTTTTGTTTCCAGAACAAGCATGGTTAGATAAACTACGAAGGAAGTAAGAAAAGGGCTGGAGTCAAATCTGAGGCTGACTTTGGCATTTCCCTCTTCCCTGAACCTCCAGGAAAATAGGGCATAGAAGCCAAGACAGCACTTAAGATCAACGTGGGATAAATTTCTACATCTATGAAACAGGTCCTCAAATAACCAAACACCACTGTGGTTTGGCACTATTTGTCTCACAGAAGCAGGAAAGAATTACCCAGCATCTGCTCTTCCCTTTTTTCCTAGGTATTGCATCAGGCATCCAATAAGACACAATCTTTGTGTGCTAGGAGCTTATGGTCTGCCCTTGAGCTTACCTAAAGTTTAATTCAACATATATTTTCCAGGAACCTATTATCAAAAGCCTTGAACTTTCTTGGTTTTGTGTTGTCAAAATTCAACGTTGCTTTCATTCTTCCTCAGAACTCTAAAACACAACTTTCTTTTCTTTCTCACCGTGACTTTTTCCATCTCCATACTGGCTCTTCTACACACTGATGGCCACTTCAGTCCTTTCTTGGGTTCTACTCCAGTTTTTGGTCACAAAGAGCCAGACGAAAATATTCCAAGGAAAGAATCCCATAGACTGGCAACTCCCCTCACTATTCAGTCCTCATGGTTGGGTTGTCTTAGGAAGAGCAACTATAGTATAAACAAGCCATTAAAATGTTCTGTTCCGGGCGCCTGGGTGGCTCAGTGGGTTAAGCCGCTGCCTTCGGCTCAGGTCATGATCTCAGGGTCCTGGGATCGAGTCCCGCATCGGGTTCTCTGCTCGGCGGGGAGCCTGCTTCCCTTCCTCTCTCTCTGTCTGCCTCTCTGCCTACTTGTGATCTCTGTCTGTCAAATAAATAAATAAAATCTTTAAAAAAAAAAAAAATGTTCTGTTCCTTTGAGAAAGAAAACAACTCAGATTGAAGAGTGGGGGTCATCCAGACAAGCCAGCTTGACTCCAGGAGCTTGACTGAGAAAGATTTCCCACATGCCCATGGCTCCTTGCTATCGTATCTGGGGTTTTGCCTTTCTCTGTTCTTTGACATTTCGTACAATAAAAAGCTCTTTAGAAACTGGGTTAATAATATATAAAACAGAAAACAAAAAACACTAATATATATATATATAAAACTGCAGCTAGGCTCAATTTAAAAATATCCATTACTTAACTCACTGTGGTTGGTAACCACATTGATACACTACATAAGCTCAGACCGCTTCTGCTGGTTTTATAGCTTTAACATACGAACTCCAGTGAAGTTCTACTGGACTAGCCAGTAAGAAGGAAAGTCAAAGAAAACAGAGGGGAAAGCAGAATGGGAAAATAAAACAGGAAAATGAATGGAGAACTCCTTAAGTGTGGAGAAATTATAAATAACTCAAGAGGGAAACAGAGTTATCATAACAAAGGAAAATGAAAAGGACTCAAAAATTTCTTTTACCATAATTCTGTTTTAAATTGAGTCATTTGTTAAATGTGGCAACAAACTGTATTATTAATAATAATATAGGAATGTTTGATTTATTTCCTTGTGGATTCTTTGGCCTTTTCTTTGACATTTATTTGCAAGCAGACTAGAGCAGTTTCTTCTATTTAATATTTGGGTAAAAGAACATATGAAATGTATCTCATCTCTCTTAAAAACAACTGTCACAACCATGACTCTGGCCTGGGGGATACCAGGCTTAAAGCTATAAGACAAAATACAAACTTCAAGAAATTGTTTTTTAAATTATATAAAAATGTGATCTAAATGGGCCATTTCCATTACTTGTGGATAGTAAATAATATATTAAGGTTTCCTACTGATAAAAGGATTGTCTCTAAAGGGAGCTTGTTAATGGTTACATGAGGAATCATTTTAAAGATAAGATACTCACGTTTTAGGATATTTCTTTGTTCTAACTCTTCAGTCGTGGGCCTCTGGCTAAGCCTCCTGTGACAATAAAAGGATATACTACAGGTTACAAAAAAGGTCCCCTTGGCAGGAGATGCAAAATAAAATAACAAAGACACAAAACTTAATTTTTTTCCTATTTTGAGAAACACATATCTATTTTAAGGTTACTATCCTTTCTGTTAGTTTGGAGACTAAAGATTGTGGCTGAGGCCGCTGCCTATTCCCCATTATCCATCCCTCCTTCTTCCTTTTAGATCTAGAACCTCCTGAGATACAGCTGTGGCTCCCAATACAGACTTCTGCCTCCCTGGCAGCAAGGTGTGGCTTTGTGACCAAGTCCCTGCCGTGGGATGTGAGCAGAATGGTATTTGTAACGTTTGCCTTTTACCCTTAAAATGACTGAGTGTGTCTTCCCTTTTCTTTCCTTCCTCCACAGGCTAAAACTTAAACATGATCATGTGAGCCAGCTTGGACCATGTAGATGAGAATATCCACGGAGCAAAAGGACAGAATATGGGTGCCCGGCTGACTGCAAGGAATAGTGCTCCCTACCCACCCCATACAGCCCACTTACCTCTGGACTGTTCTGCGAAAAGGAAATAAACACGTGAAAGTGTCTTATTTGGACTACTGCACTTCTTGGTCTCTGTTAGAACAGTTTAGCCCAACCCCTAAGTAATACATAGATCGTTAGAATCTAGGAAAGTTTTCTGCTTGAGAGTTCATACTAACTCAAAAGATGCCTGATCTACACGGCACAGAGTTTCAAGTGAAATACTGCTTTTGTGACCTCAAATGGATTTGTGTGTGTGTGTGTGTGTGTGTGTGTGTGTGTGTGTATTTTCAAGATTTTATTTGAGAGAGAGAGAGAATGAGAGAGAGAGTACGAGAGGGGGAGGGTCAGAGCGAGAAGCGAACTCCCTGCCGAGCAGGGAGCCCAATGCCAGACTCAATCCCGGGACTCCAGGATCATGACCAGAGCTGAAGGCAGTTGCTCAACCAGCTGAGCCACCCAGGCACCCCTCAAATGGATTTGTAATATACATAGAGTTATTTGAGATATATAGGCCCTTTCCATCTGCCTTCAAGAAAAGCCAGGTTCATCTGTGATTAGTAGCTAACTCTTTCTACACAAAAGCTGAATGACCTAATACCCCTTTATAACTTTCTTCTTGATCTTGTTTATAGTATTAATTTATCATAAATCACAGATCTGTTGTAAAATTCCTTCTGGATGTAGGATGAGTTTGTGCCATGTAAACATATGTATGAAGGTAATCTTAATATAAGATACTATCAATTCTAACATTATGCCTGTGGCAGAAATGGTATGAAGAACTGAAATCAATGATATTTTAAATACCTCATTATAATGTTTGTTAAAGTTTAATCTTCACCAGAACTACCTTGAAAGTAACTTACATAACTGAGCCCACAGAAGAATCCAGGAAGCTAGGAGCCCAGCCAGGTGAGGGGCCACCCATGAATCCTGTAAATACACCGTATCCTCTACCAAAGACATTGTCCTCCTTTTTTCGATGGAGTTTCCTCCTTCAGGAATACCCTTCTCTCTTTCTCTGCCTACTGAAATCTTACAAATGACTAAAACAGTAACCTGAAGGTGGGTGTCTGACCTGTCCTGTGAGTGAGTTTTGAACTCCTGGTTCTCTGCCCTATGCAGCGCTCACACACAGGTCACACACCTATCAGAGCACTTATCACACAAGTAATAATAAAGATAAGGCAATAATCATAGCTCTCGTTAGCTCATACTTTTAAAGTCCCAGGCACTGTACCAGGTGCTTAATTTACATTACTGTGGATCCTCAAAACAATTCATCAAGGGAGTAACCCATTTCCATTTTGCAAATGAGGAAATGAGGGATTAATTCACTTGCTTGAGATCAAGGGCTCATGAATGCTGGAGCACAGCCTCATACCTAGTTCTCCTGATCTACATGTTTGCGCTTTTCAGTTGACCTCCCCAAGAAGTATCTCTTTCTGTCTCTTCCACTATGCACAGAGTCCCCCGAGGTAGGGACTACGGGTGATTTATCTTTGAATGACAGTGATCAGATGTACAGTATCTGTAGGAAAACAATTCTATAAAATGTACATATTTCTGACACTAAAAACTACTCAAAAATTTTAATGGCTATGGTTTATGTGTACACTTACAGAGGCTCTCAAACTTTGGGAGCTTGGGGGTAGAATCCCTATATAAAACAGACAGAAGAGGATGTTCTGGGTGGATGGTTGAGAGTGGGGTGAAGGAGTCCTTCCCGTCCCACCGCAAACACACCCACACTGCCTGGGTTGCCCCACAGAAGCCTGAGTATCGCCTCCAAGAAATCTTTGATGAGGCAGTCAGAAAACCACTGCCCTATGCTTAGTTCACCATGTCAGCTTCTCCCAATGTCCTTTATCAGTCCCCTGTTTTCAAGCACTTGGTTTGTTTTAATTCATCACTGCTATAAATAGCCTTGAAATAAACATCTTCGTAAAGTGTATGGGTTTTGTTTCCCTTTTGGATTATTTTCTTCTAGTATCGTCTCTCAAATGGAATGACCATGTCAAGGAAGAGGCTGCTCTATGATTTCTTTTTTTCATATTGTTAAGTTGCTCTTCAGAAATACTGAACAAAGGTGCCAATATTGGGTTTGTTTAAAATGTTTTACTTGTTTAAGGGATATATAATGATTTAAATTACTAATAAAAATATTTAATTCTATTATGTGCCTGCTACAATCCAGGCTCTCCAGGGCTTTCAGTGCAGCTTCTCATTTCCCGCCACAAGCCACTGGTTGGCCCCATTTGTCAAGCAGAGAAGAGCCTCCGGAACCCCAGCCCCACACCAACCCCACTGGTCCAACACAGTCACAGAAGTCTTCCACTTCCAAGCAAGGAGAAGAATTTCTTCCACTTCCAAATCCCGCCCCGGGATCCCAGACTGCTCCCTTCTTCCAATTGATGCACTCTGTTGTTTACGCAGAGTGAGAGAAGTCAGCAAAATGGATAATACTATTAAATATGCTTAAACTGATCATCAAACATTGGCACTCACTTCTCTTAAACCTGCCAAGTCGATGGACCTCCAAAGTTGCTGGTGGCCAAAGCAGAAACCCTCCAATTGCTGGAGGCAGAATGTGAAATCAGATAACCACTTGTTTGAAGTTAAAAGGGGGAGGCTGTGATAGGGGGGCTACAGTTACCTGACTTGGATGGAGCTGGTCATTGAAGCTAACTGGTATTTCTAGAGACTCTAAGCCCACAGGGCAGAACCTCATGGCGATCACAGGAAAAAGGATACTTGCCATGCCAGAGAGCCCATGGATTAGGCCAGGAGTTGGGCAAACTATGACTTACAGGCCAAATCTGGCCTGTTGCCTATTTTGGTGAATAAAGTTTTATCGGAACACGACCATACCCATTGGTCTATGTGTTGTTCATGGCTCCCTTCATGCTGTTACTAACACAGTGGTGTAGCTGCAACACCACCTCCGAATTGGTCCTTCATAGAAAAAGTTGTTGACACTTGGCTTAGACTTTGGTGACACCAAAGCCACTGAATGGCTGGACCAAAGGGAAAGTTGAGTGGTTCACCATTCAGGACCAACTTCGGAAAACCACACAGGCCACATGTGCCCTTAGCCAAGAAGGTGGGAGAGAAGTATGATTTGGTGAGTGCTGTGAGAAAACTGGAGCCATTACCTGACGAGCTTGGTTCCAATCTGCTGTCGGATCTCCTGCCGCTCCTCTTCAGATGTTCGCTGCAAGATGTTTTTGTCCTCTAGTTCCTTTTTTGACGGTCTGTTGCCAAGTTTGATAGCAAGAGTATCCCTCCGTCGTATTTTACTTGCCAAAGCACCTGAGGATTGGAAGAGGCAGAAATGCAGAAAAAAAGGGCTTTAAGCAAGCAATACTCAGGTTACACATGGCATGGACTTTAAACAGAGTCCAGACGAAATTCTTTATCCACATGCAAGAGTGGAATTTTAATTAACCTCAGGGAAAAAAAGAAAAAAAAAGTTTTGAGTTGGATGTAGTTCACTTCGAAAGACTGAAGAACTATTTTTAAAATGTTCTGAAAAATGCTGGGGCACCATGAAAAAACTTGCAAATATCACCTCATCATTTGGAAAGTGATATTTGAAGTTTATTTTGCTGAGACGGCATGTCACGGAAATTACTGATTGCGTAACACTTTCTTTTCTAAGTCTTAAAAACATAGCTTTTTAAATTTATACCGTACAGTTAATTCTTGTCTTCCCCTTTCCTTCACTGAGAAATCACGCTGGAAAAAGTTTACCTGTGGTAGCAATGTTTTAATCCTTAGTTAGCAAGAATCCTCAACAGAGAATAGTCAACACCAGGTGGATGATAATGATTTTGTTGTTGCTGTTCAGTACAAACTAAAAGGAATTTGACAAACTGATGGTTCATCATTAACAACTTTTCACAATGTATACATTCAATTCCATAGTGAATTACTCTTAAGTCAAGATGCTTAGACATTTTTTAAAATAAGCACTTTCCAGTTCCCTAAGTTATATATAAATAAATGTCTTAACTACTATCTCATTCCTTCCTAAAAGGCATCCTATCTCACCTATTGTGGAATAATCATTTTTTTTTTGATTCTTCAAAGGTATTTGTCATTCTCGACTCATTCTTCCCTCCCCTTTAAACTCTAGTATAAAAGTGAGTGGAAGTCTCAAACACCTCCAACAAGTAATCCAGTGAATCCGAGTTTATGCTCTTTATTCAAGAAAGATCTCAGGGGCACCTGGATGGCTCAGTCAGTTAAGTGTCTGCCCTTGGCTCAGGTCACAATTCCGGGCTCCTGGGATCGAGTCCTGCATTGGGCTCCCTGCTCCTCGGGGAGCCTGCTTCTCCCTCTGCCTCTCTCACCCTCTCTCTCTTTCTGTCTCTCATGAACAAAGAAATAATTTCTTAAAAAAAAAGAAAAGAAAAGAAAGAAAGATCTGACTGGAAGGGCCATCTCCGATCATTCTGAAAACATCTATGTCATTTGAAAGCTCTGACTCCTCATAGGCAAAGGCCTGACCCCTTGGCCCCTGTGGAACCAGCTTCTGGAAAGGTCTGTCATCAAAAGCTAAACTTTAGGACACACATTCCTAATTCGAGAAAACAATATGATGAGGGGAAAGAAAACATCAGCTATTTGATCACCAATGGCTTTTGTCATTACAAAACGCACCTGCTTCTGTCCATCATCCACTTTCCTCCCCACCTCTGGAAAATAGTCTTACTTTCTCCACTGCCGTCCTCGTCCTCATCCTCTTCATCGTCGTCGTCATCAGTGTACAAGACAGGCCCATCAGAGTCTGAGTCATTGGTCTGGTACTCCCTTTGGCCTTCGTCCTCAGGGGCACTGAAGGATTCTGAAGATTCTCCCAACAGCCCAGGAGTCAGCAGCTGAGGGGCTACCTTTCCCGGCTCATCTTTGGTTGTAAAACTGTTAAAGGCACAACAACACAGGGGGGTGGGGGGATGGTGGTGTGAAGCTCAGAGCAGCCCTCCGGGACAACACCAACACCATGAGAGGGAGCTCTAGTTTCATGAGCATTTTTCAAGCTGGCAAAAGGAGAAAGCAAACATAGGCAGCTAGGGACAGTGAAATGGAAGAGGACTACTGCAGGACTTCATTCTCAAGGTTTCAGATTCTTCATCTACAAAATGAAAAGGAATGACTAGATGATGTCTGATATTGATACATGATTTAGTACATGAATATGGTAAAACAATATTTTGCAGATTGATTTTTCCATAGCCATGGGGCCTCAGTGGAAAGAACAGTGGACTAGAGGTTTCTGAATATTTGACTTGGTCTATCCTTATTCTGTACCTATAACTCCTACTTATCCTTCAAGCCTCAGCTAAAGTCATAGCTTCTTCAGGAATCTTTCACTGGCCTTCCATCTAGATCCTTGCCCCACCACCGGCCTTTAAGGTGACCTGAAGACAACTCTATGAGCACTTAGCACACTGGACCTCGACCACCATTCACTTGTCTGCCATCTCAGCCCTCAAAGCTCCTTGACAAGTGGGATTCATAGTGATTTGCAGCCCAACACCTAGAAAAGGAGTGACAGAAAGACACACCTTCTTTAGCTGATATATGAATTAATCCTATTTTCTTTTTTTTTTTTTTAAGATTTTATTTATTTATTTGACAGAGAGAGATCACAAGTAGACGGAGAGGCAGGCAGAGAGAGAGAGAGAGAGAGAGAGAGAGAGGAGGAAGCAGGCTTCTTGCTGAGCAGAGAGCCCGATGCGGGACTCGATCCCAGGACCCTGAGATCATGACCTGAGCCGAAGGCAGCGGCTTAACCCACTGAGCCACCCAGGCGCCCATGAATTAATCCTATTTTCATCATAGCCAGTGTGTCAAGTCAAAAAATCATGTATCATCTCTGTGTTTTAGTTTCTCCATTTGTAAAACTGCCTCTCATAGGAATATATTAGTAACGTGACATTGAAAAGGGCGAAGTTAAACGCACTCTTTACAAGACAGGTGATGTGAACGGATGCAATAATTTTCTATCAGTTAGCTTGGTAAGAGTCTCTGGCTTAAAGTTTCTATAAATAGACAAAGTCTGCCAATTTTCACAGACTAGAATAAGAAAAAATGTCACTGAAAACGTATCGAAAACGTAGCATATCAAAAACAATGTAATATTCATTTTAAGATTCAGAAAATCCAGGACGCCTCGGTGGCTCAGTTGGTTGAGCAGCTGCCTTCGTCTCAGGTCATGATCCCAGCATCCTGGGATTGAGTCCCACATCGGGCTCCTTGCTCGGCGGGGAGCCTGCTTCTCCCTCTGCCTCTGCTGCCACTCAGCCTGCCTGTGCTCGCTCTCTCTCTCTCTCTCTCTCTCTGGCAAATAAATAAATAAAATCTTAAAAAAAAAAGCCTATGTGTGTCAACTATACTCAAATAATAATTAAAAAAATTAAAAAAAAAAAAGATTCAGAAAATCCCCAAATTGTCTTCTGATATAAATAGAAGCATACAAATTTGGACATCACACTTCTAAAAGACCGTTTTATGCAAACCATGTGCTTGCTGTTGCCATGAACTTGAAAAACCAAAAAACAGTTCTTTGAGTAGTAAAAACAGGTAAACGTCAGAACCTGAAGTACTGAAAAACTGTACTTTGTGGTTATTGGTCCAAGCACTCTAAAAAATTTGCACTTATTAGAAAAATCCAACAGCCAAAATTCTTGTTTTCAAAGGGGAAACTATGCACGGCACATTATATTTATTTTTACTAAGTAAAATACGCACAGCATAAAATTTGCCATTTTGACCATTTTAAATCATACAGTCGAGTGGCAGAACATTTACACGATTGTACAACCATCACCACCGTCCATCTCTAGAACCTTCTCATCTTCCCAAACTGAGACTGACCCATTAAATAATAACTCCCTGTTCGCATCCCCTAGCCCCTGGAAACTACCATTTTACTTTCTGTCTCTATGAATTTTGCTATTTTAGGTGTTTTCCAGAAGCAAAATTATGGAACATCTGACCTTTTGTGTCTGACTTACTTTACCAACATGTCTTCCAGGTTCATCCATGCTTTAGCAGGCATCGTCAGAATTTCTTTTAAGGCTGAATGATATCCTATCGTGTCATATGCCGCATTTTGTTTATCTACTCATCAGTAGATGAACATTTGGGCTGCTTCTACCTGTTGGTTGTTGTAATACTGCTGCTAAGGACTCTGGTGTACACTTATCTACTCAAGGACCTACTTTTAATTTTTTCGGCTATATACACAGAAGGAGAATTGCTGGGTCCCATGGTAATTCTAGGTTTCATCTTTTGAGGAACCACCATACTGTTTCCATAGTGTGAGAACCATGATTTCCATGGTCCGGATTTTTGGTTGATTGCCACTGGAGGCCACCCTTGTTTAGCCAGCCTGGTACTGTGGGTGACCACAGCACATTTACTAGATGTAGCAATTAGTAACACGTTCTGAAGAGCAGAACAAGAGATACTTCAGGGCTGAGCCTTGGTATTTGTTTCTGTCACTGCTCACTAATTTATTATGGTATCTATCATTATTTTAATGGCATCATCTGTACTTTATAATGTTTTGTAGTTTTCAAAGACTTCTGCCTACATTTACAGACTTAATCTGTTCTACAGTATAAGGGGATGGGTAAGTTACAATTCACGGAACTTGAAAAGACCATGGGTGTGTTGCCCAAAACAAGGTATCAAGTCCAGTCTAGAACCCAGACTTAGACTCTTATTCTACCTATTAAATGTTATATTGTATTTTATACTTGACATTGTAAGTTATAGTCATATCATATTACATAGATAATTAACATTAAATTATTATACTCCAAATTTGTGTCTATCCACTCATGACTTGTCTCTCATTTGCCCCCTAAATGTGTTGGGTACACGCGACAAAACAGCGAACTCAAGTGTTCGTGGAAATGAACTAAACGCAGTCAAGTTCCCTGTGGATATGGGCTCCAGATGGGCTGCTTAGTGACTGCCTTAAATTATCCCAGACCTGTATGATACCAATGAAGCCGCCAATAAATAGAAATCTACCACACGGTTACTACCCTGCAATGTGTGAATAGAAGAAGATATTTTTACACATAGCCACTTATCTTCTTTAAAGTTTTGATATTTGTATTCCAAACAGAAGCCTCTTCATAAGATGACAGGATTTTCACACATTCGTTCACTAAACATAACTGAGGGAAAGTTCTAAGTAAAGCAAGTGACTAAGAGCTAGAAATTCTAACTGAAATATCTACTTAAAAACGGAAGAAAGAATTTGGAAAAAAAAAATTTGAGAGACTACTTATTCCAGGCTCATTAACTCAAGAGCAAACAAACCACTCCTGTGGAATGAATTGTAATTTAAATTTTAACTTTGAAGAACATACAGAGAAGGAAATCTCAATGCCCTTTTCTAAGAAAGGATTATGTTTATCTGGAGTGATAGGAAAATCTATATATAAATACCTCGATGTCTAATGATGTCCTAAGCTTGCTCTCTGATCATAGTTCCCATGGAAATAGGGAACAGACGCTCGCCTCTTTTGTCTGACAATCCTGTGTGTACTTGGGCTGGAGACTGACATTAAGCCCCCCTCCTCGTGCAGCACAGTGCTTTGCATAGTAGAGTCCCTTCCCTATAGGTCTGAGGAAGCAGGCTGGACAGAGTCAAGTCACCCTGGGATATGCGCTCTCTCACTGCCCAAGACTATCTAAGGAATCACCTTGTTGTATCTTGTTCTTTAGTATACAAAATAATAAACTTATATATTCAATCTATTCAGACCTGTCTTAAACATTTGTACTTCCTGAGCAGGTTGGATATTATTTTGGTAAAAACTAATTTAACTATAATATCTTGGTCTTGCTTACTTTTTTAAAAAAGATTTTATTTATTTGATAGAGAGAGAGAGAGAGCGCACAAGCAGGGGGAGCAGCAGGCAGAAGGAGAGGGAGAAAAACAGTTCCCTGCTGAGCAAGGAGCCTTATGTGGGACTCAATCCCAGGACCCTAGAATCATGATCTGAGCCGAAGGCAGATGCTCAACTGACTGAGCCAGCCAGGTGTTCCATCTTGCTTACTTCTGTATCTTTGGTGCTGAGTGCAGTGCCCAGTACATAGAAGGCAAGCAGGAAATATTTCCTGAAAGAATGATTTTTGAGTTCTGAAGGTTGGAGTTCAATGCAGTGCTGGAAAACCACAGTGTAATTAAATGAAGTAATTTGCTATGTGCTGGAGGTGTTAAGGACATCATAGCCATTCCTTTCAACGTCTTCTCCCATATTGATTACTAATGTGTCGAGTAAGTAAAATAATTTATAATTTAACATTTATCTTTCCTTGGCTTTCCTTCAAACCATGGTGCTCAAAATGATAAAAACAAAAACAAAAAACAAGAAACGAACACGAAAGAAATTGCAGAAGTAGAAGCAAGTGCTTTGGAAATGCATACAATTTCTTAGAGCATGGAATTTGCCATGCAGCTCTGAGCGTGCATTCTAACTTTGCTACTTACTAATTGGGTAATCTAGGGCAAACTATTTTCCCTCTCTCAGTGTCAGTTTTCTCATCTATTAAACAGAGATATTTCACATAAGACTTATGTGAATTAATGATAACTGACAGTTCCTGACATTAAATAACTATTCAATAAATGAAGGTGATTATTATCAGCAACTGAATAATTAATGATTATCTCTTGATCCAAGTCAACTTAATTAATGTACTATTTTTTAAGCCTAACATGACGTTTTTTTTTTTTTTTAAAGAGAAAATATTAAATGATCACAATGAGTGAATTTTGGTTTTATTCTTAGAAACAGGAGAGGAGAGGTTGGGTTTAAGGTTGGATTTAAGAACCCTAAGACTTCTCCAGAAGTCTACTATACTCTGACAGCTCTCCCTTTGTATCTGTGGGATAGAAGAGCTAGTATGTCTTTTTTGCCTTTATGGATAGGCCTTTGTGAGGGATTAGCTGCAGGGAATGAAGACGAATGAGAGCCGTGAGGATGAACCCCAGGTTTCTGGCTTGGGTAACTGCATGATGTCATGTTTATGGCATACCAGATTCTGTACTGGTTGCTGGGGATGCAGAGGCAAACAGATATGCCGCTTAGCTCTGTCCCATGGAGAGGAAAAAAAGGGTTGCCAGCATAGAGTAGATGCGACAACCAATTCTGTCTGCATGAGTGCTGAAATGCGTCAGAGAGAAGGTAACAGTGGAGTTGGGTGGGGAATTGAGGAAGCAAGAAAGGGGGCCCCTCTGAAGCTGGGGGGAAAGGGATGGAATCCAAGAGTTCTTTCCTACTGGTCTTTATTTTCTTAGAGAAAGAAAAGGCTAAATGACTTGTTGTAATGAAGGTAGGCAGGAACGGGTGACCCATCTGGACACAAGTAGTAAAGACTTAAAATAACCACTGTAAGGAAAGAAAAGGGAACTGTCCAGGGAAAAGAAAAGGGATTGCTGAACATTGATGAAACAGGCTCTGATCTACTCGAAAGCCACAGATCTGAAGTGGTACCCGCCAGCAGGACTGATGTCATCTTCTCCAGTAGCCTATGACATTCCTGAGGCAGGCTATGAAAAACCAAAGGCTGGATGATATAGGTGCTTACCTAACAATCACTAGGTTAAATTGTAAAACAAAACCAAGTAGGTTCATTTCCAATAGAGTGGTTTAGTGATCTTTAGCACCCAGTTGCACAGGGGATACAGACGGAATATGGGGTTTATGCCCCCGACTCACCATTTTGCATTTTCTCTGCTAACACTTAAGCCAGGGCCTGAGAAGACAGTGGTTCTGTTGGTGGGCTCTTCGGTCCAGAGAAGCTGACTTGGGTCTAAGGCAGGGACGGGCACGTCAGCTCCATCACTGACCAGGACAACAGGAGTGTCTGAGGCAACAGTGCACTGCTCCTCATGAGGAAGAGGAGGGGCGGGGGGAGAAGGTGGTGGAGCCACAGGAGGTGAGGGGACTGCAGACTTAGATTTGCCTGTGGTCTGCTCCTCGGTCCCGGGGACAGTCTGCTCAGGTTTGAGACTCTCCACCCTCATCTCAGAAGGTTCTCCTTTAAGGTCGCACATGCCAGACGTGGTTGCATCCGAGGACAATCGAGAGGTTGGCTGCTTGCCAGTTTTTTTCTTGCCCTTTGTGATTCCCACTGTCCCTGTTTTGCTAGAAAGTGTCTCCTTTGAAGCTTTGGGACGAGACAAAGTGGAGGAAGTAGATGGTGAAGCTGATGCTTTGGACCCAGTTGTTTTTTTTGAATGAGAGGAACCAGCTAAAACAGAGAGAGTTTGCGTTAAAAGTCAAAGAAGCCTTTTAAACAAACAAATGAGTTGCAACTGTCAATTATGATGCTCCCTTTAAAATGTTAACATTTGTCAAATAAAAGAAAATAGGCTAATAAGGATAATGGTTTTATTTTCTGCCTCCTCCTTACCCAGAATCTAGGAGGGAGCCAATGATGATGAAGGCAAAACTGTAAGGGACAAGAGTCCTCTCCTATGGAGACTGAGGAGTCCCTCTAGTTTTTCTGGCTGCACCAGCCAAGGGGAAGTCCTCAGCTGCTGTCTTACAGGTCATCTGAATGAGTCCCTGTGTACCCCAAAGAAGGGACATCATAGTGTATAAAGGATAGACAGCAGCTGTCTGGTTAGAGTGCCAGGTCGGGCTCATCACAAATTCTCCAAGTTCAATGATGCTTTTTGGGAATGGAGTGGCCCATATTCAGAATGGCCAGGGTATATCCCTGTGCCTCCTTTCTGGACCAAAGGCAAAGGTACTCAATTCTAAACCAGTTATCCCCATGGCTCCAGAGAAAGAAGCTTGACATGCCAGCCCATACCTCCACCTACAGTGGCGATGGGGCAGAAAGAAAACACATGGCCACATCAGAAAGACAAGTCCCCTTCAAAATATCAAAAGGCAACTAGGTGATGGGCATTAAGGAACGCACTTCAGGTAATGCAAACAGGGTGTGATATGTGACTGATGAATCACTAAACTACCTCTGAAAAAAATAATACACTACATGTTCATTAAATTGAATTTAAATTTAAAAAACCCAAACCCACAAAATATCAAAAGGCAGAAAAAGTCATTATTTTTTTTACAGAAAATGTCTACATGGGTAGCCCTGGAATAATTTGAAGGGAAAGAGTGTCATTCTCAGATCTTGTGGGACAAACACCCTCACAAAGCCAATCTTCCTTAGCACTTCCGTTCCTAGATGGTCTTCATCAGAGAATGGTTGTGGCCACTAGAAGGTATTTGCCTGCTTTTGGGTAGGACTGCCTTCAACCAAACCATTTTCAGGGGAAAAAAAAAAGCGCAACTGTTCTTTATATCATTTTGGCAAACACCTTTAAAATCCTGTGAGAATGTCTTCTGTTTCATGACCTGTATGATTTATAAATTTCTCCTAATTGCTTCTTCTGTTGTAATGTTGTACGTTCCCCCTCTTTTTCATGAGGGGTTAAACTATCCTCCACAGAACTCTTACAAAATACCTTGTTATTACGGTGGAGCCAATCCACAACACACGTTATGATAACTTACCTTTACTGAAGTCAGCTGGGGGAGGGTCAAGAGGTGAAGAACGAATAAAGGAATAGACAATGAGATAGAAGACTTCATCAACTCTGATATACTAAAAAAGGGTGAGTCTCATTTGGTGACAAAATCCAGACTTAAAGGATATCTTTATGGCTTGGGGCCTTTATAATTTTAGATACACACAACTGGAATTCATACTATCCCAAGTCTGGGACTGCTCATATTACTTCTTTCAAGCTAACAATCTTCACCTGCTAATAAGAAAAGGGTATTCAGCATACTTCTACAATCTAAGTCCATTCTAAATTTATTTTTTCACAACAAAGATCTAAGGATTTGATGCCTAAACACATTCAATTACTTTTGTATGTAAATTGAACAGAATCCCTTTCGCACACCCATATGTATATTAATGTGGATTATATATATTTTTTAAGACAATTCTTTCTTTTCTAACAGCAAAGTTAACTTCAGCTCGACTTGAGAAAAAAAGACAAATATTTTAAATGGTTGGGGTGGAGCTTCAAGTCACACTTCTCTAGATACTTTAAGTTTCTTCTAAAATGACAAGACTTGGCTGAAATCAACCATGTTGCTTAAGCTACCTTGAATTAACGCCAGGATTAAAAAAGTAAAGCCACCTCTCCTCAGTTAAATACTTCCGTTGTTAACACAGTGTGTAACAATGAGAAAGAAAAAAAAAATACAGGAGATTTGACCTTACTTCACTCACAAAGCAGCTGAATGTGCTAAGCCGGCATCTGGTTATCTAGGGGTCTATACTAACTGAGGAACTGAAGAAGAATCCTAACTGACAGCTTTTATAAGAACTGAATCATCTGACTAAAAATCATGAGTTGCATTTTGAAGTAACTTTTCTCAAAGGACATTATTCAAATAAAATGTAGAAAGTTCTAAATGATTAAAAAATGGAATATCAGTTGGAGTCTGAAGGAGTACTATCAATATTTGATAAAAGGATTCTTGCACATCAGGCTTGTTGGTATAGCTCAATGAAACCCCTGTTTATCTGGGACAGCCTGAGAAGACAGACACTGTTATTCACACCATCAGCCAGCGGGGCCTTATTTAATACAACAGATAATAATGTGACTGTATAATTCTCCTAGGAACATCGTGGGCCCATAAATAAACCTTCAAGTAAAACATCTGGCTGTAACTCAAAATCTCTCATGAAAGCTGTCCGCTGCCCTGACATTAATCACCAGCTTTCTTCTGAGAGAAGTGAGAGGGTCCAAGGCAAGGCCATAGTGAGCCACTGCTCTATGGGGCAGGACGAAGTGAGCAAGTCTGTGTAGTGCCCAAGCATGGGGTGATTGTTTGGGGCTCTTCTTTAATAAGTGGATCACTGCCTGTCTCACTTCAAGCACTGCTCCTCAGGTCGGCTAGGCATTCCGGGAAACACAGTGATGCCGACAAAAATGGACACAGGGCCACTGGTACCTGAGGAGATGGCCCGTGGGCACTATAAGTACAGTGTTCTCAGACATTTCATTTCAGAGCTTATTAGAAGATACCAGACACTCGAGGTCAAAGGCCGAAGAGAGGAGCACAGGCAAAGAAACATCTATTTGCATTTGGCGGTCTGCTATGCCATCAAGTAAGCCATTTTCTGAGCAGTGTGGGTATAAATGATGGAGGGAAAAGGATCAACATGAAGGCATATCCTGGTAGCCAAGTGCAAGAAACTTACTGATTTTGATACTGATTTTACGGAAAAAATAGTTTGCTACAACATGGGGGAATGTGAATGGAAAAAGTCATTCAGCATGTACACTTTGATTATTGTCTTTTTACAGTTGGACGACATGGTAGGCTTCTTTATGCCACACGACTAGAAGACTGGGAGCTCCACTCTGCACTAAGCATATCTGATTTGGAAGGAAAGCTGGACAGATATTACATGTTGTTTGTAGGTCACTCAAACATACCCCCGGGACATACAATAATGACTTGTTAACTACATTGTAGGATGTTATTCCTTATAACACATGGGAGTCTGGGGATGAGGTGGACAGTGAACACTAAGCATGTGACTTTCAACGTGGATGAAAAAGCTGTGATTCCAGTAGAAAGTGGAGGGAGAGCTGGACTGAGTGATATGAACTCTTTGACATCTGTCAGTAGAGAAATAACTATGTATGCGGAAGGATTTAAGATACTAAGATCCAGCAAAAATATCAATGATGTGTCATATTCTGATATGCAACTTAAGATATTTTAGAGGAAAATCCAAGCCAAAGAGCCACCCATAAACTCCAATAGGCAGAAGGCCAGGCGATTGTAAATAATGTGATATCAGATCACATATCGCATTCATCAAGCACACTACACCCTGAATCCTTCTACTGGTTCTTAGATAGACAGTGGATACTTGGAATAAAAGAGGTCTATTCACCCCAAATATAATGAGGTCAACTAATCAACTGGTTGACTTTCCTTCGGTAGAGGCAACAACAAAGGAATCTCCTGGGTATTCTCAAGTGAAATCCACTGGTGCTACATTCTAAGATACCAAAAAGGTCACCGTTAGTAGAAAAAGCAATGAGCCCCACCCCAGAGCCAAACACCCTAGACTCCAGCCCCCAGGGGGCATACTCACCAGCCTCTCGGGTCGTGTTTCGGCTTGTTGGCTTGGGTGGAGGGATGGGGGCCTGCTTACCGGGCGCCTTGGTAATTTTTTTAATAGGAGGCACTTCGTCACCCTTGGGGCTGACCCCGGCGGCAGCCCCTTTTGGAGGCACAGGTGTTTTTTTGGGCTTAGGTTTGGGTTTAGGCTTAGGAAGAGCTGGAGGAGATGGAACAGGAGCTGCCGGTGTTTCAGAGTGGTTTTCAGTGTTCTCTACAAATGAGAAAGTGAACAGAAGCAGACTGATACAGACACACACCATATAAACAGAAGGAGCAAGACATATGGTGACAGTGATACAAACACACGGCTGCTTGGCCCTTCGGAACCAGCGTGGTGTGCCATAGCAGGGAGAGCACAGTCAGGGGCACAGAGGATCAAATGTGCACAAGCTAAAAGCCAAACTGCGTGCATTATCAGGGTACACAAATCATTCCTGTGATCAAACAGGGTCGCACAAGTTACTGTGATGAAGTTATTTGAGGACGAGTGTCAATATCCACCGTCAGGGGCCGACACCAGCCATGAATCAGTGGCTGCTGGATATGGGCCTGGGCAGGAGTGCTAAATTTAAATTTAACAATACTGAAGGACGCTGAGAGTAGCAGGTCAGCGCACTGTGCATAACGCCGGGAGGACTGACAGCGAAGCAGTGACTGGACTCCATTAACTTTATACCCTTGGTGCAGGGACTTTCTCTCAGGAGAACTCAAGCCCCACCAACAGGAAAGGGATTTGAGTGCTGTCTCAAATTATGGTCAAAAAATCAATCATATTCCATGCTTAGGAAGACTCTGTAGACTCTTCTCCAGGAAGCACAGTGCACTGATGAATAAACTATTTTCTACCATTAACATTTTCTTAGGCTCTCACAGTGCACAAGGGCAGCTTCCTGTTTTCCAGTAACTTCCTCTGACCTTTTCAAACAGTGTCACAACTCCAGGTACAAAGGGTGCAGAACTCCCCAAAATACCATACTGGTTTTGCAATGTAAACACAAGTAACAATTTTGAAAAGACAAGGGCTGAAACTCATTAAAAATATTCATACCGAAGAACAGAAGCCTTTCACAAGATTTTGCCTAACTGGAGGAGAAACAGTCTGTCTCTCGTTATGGGAAGCGGAGACGCTGAATGTTCATTCATGTACTCACATCCGTATTGTTTCTAATGGTGGATGATCGAAATTAAAATAAATTAAAATACAGTTCTGGTCCAAAGAGCTAAGCAGCATCTCTTTAAAAATGGAGCACAATTAAAAAAACAAAACAAAACAAAACATCAGACAGTGTTAAGACAAGACTAATAAGCCTCTACTGGATCTAATCTCCCATTACTGAATGACCAGAAAGGATGTGAATATCAGAATGCATTACATTTTATTAGTATTTCTTTTGTTTCAGTTCTCATTGTAGTGAGTGCAAGTGAGAACTGCCATTTTTTTGACTGTATCCCCTCAATCCACATAGATAAGTAATATAAGAATGATCCAAGTTATAGTACGTAATCAATAAAGCTTTTCTTTTAACTTCCCCCAGCCGTGAAGCCCACCACAGTCCCCTTCTGCCCCTAAACTTACTGGTATTTATGGTCTGAGTTGCTTGTTCATTATTTACTGGAGGCTACTTTGTGTGTGTACCTTTCTGGTTACATACTGTATCTTTTTAACTAAGTGGTGAGTCTCCTAACCTCCCTAGTCTGAACTGGAAGGCCACTGAGTCACAAATGTCAATTAGCTTAGAGAACAATAGAAGTTGAGGCCAAAGATAAATCATTTCATTTTAACATATAACATACAAACCTGTGTTGATCTGTCAGTCTTTATGATGTGGGGCAAATACCTCTCTCTGTGACTCTCTGTAAGATCAGACAGCTGCATACACACAGAGATCAAGCCCGATGATACTGCCCAAGGTGTGAACCCATCAGTCACCTGCATCACTGGGAACCCCAATTTTCTTTCCTGCTACAAACCCTCACAGGTCTTAGCCTGTCCTCACAGGCCTATCACTGAGCTCTTTCTTCTTTCTGTCTAAGGTTTCAAATTCTAAAGCTGCCTCCCAAAGAACGCAGTTTCTGGGCTTGGGAGGGAGGACGTGTTCACTCTATGACAGTTGGGAGTGACGATCCCAACTCGGGGAAAAGTGAACACGCTGTGTGCAAGCTCCTGGCGTTTGTGGACAAGGACCACCCGCAGCCCCATCCTCTGCGACCTCTACCAATGCTGTGTGTGTGTTTGCCAAAGAGCCGATACTTAGGTCTACTCTGTGGAGAACCCTAGGTGGGTGTGTGCGTCCCTGTGTGCCAACAGTATGCTCTTCTGACTAAATTATAAATTCCTTTTGTCAAAAATGTCACATCCCATTAGACACACGGCTTTAAACATGAGTCTATTCAATGAACGAGACTGGTTGATGGTTACCATCACCACACTGGGAGAAAACAAACTCTCTCCTTGTATCCAAGAGGTAATGAATGAAGTCTTTATATTTTTCAGTACCATATGACCTGAAGCTATGACATAAACTGATGGCGTCTATGAGTATTATCTTTTCAAAAGAAGGTTAAGGAAGGGCTGTCTAATCATGCTGGGCTGACACAGATACTATGCTTTAAAACAGTACATCTGGAGGACAGCTGTTTCCTATATGATGGCTCCTTCCACAGATCAACACTTAGAACTAAACGGAGAGCAGCGCGTGGCCCTCGCTTTGCCGGGAGAGAACCTCTGCCCCAGTTCCTCCTTCACCTGACCACCTCTTTGTCTCCTTCAGATCTCAGTTTGGAAATATCTGCTTCTAAGAACGAAATTTGATCCCCACTGCAAGCTTTCCTGGCTCCATGTGCTCAGGCCTTCCATACTTTGAATCTTGCGTGGCGATCGCCTATTCGCATGCTGGGTCCCGCAGGCCGCGATCTGTTTGAAGTCAAAGACCATTTCTGACTCACCACTCTTCTCCTGGCCCCAGCAAATCCTACCCATGGAAGGACTTCATTATTATTTGTCGAACAAATGCATGTAAGTCACTTGTTACTTCATGGAAAGCTCGCTATAACACCTCAATAGATAGAATATAAAATAATTTTCAGATTTCTTAGATTTAATACCAATGCATGTATCACAGATTGCAGATCAGCTTTTCTTATATATTTAAAGGCACTTCCTGAGAAGGAATAATGGGAGACTGGAAGCCCTGAAGATTTTAAGGGAAAAGTTTCCAGTGGTAGGCAGAGGAGGTCCCAGACCACTGCCTCAACTCTGGAGGCCAGTGTCGTCCGGAGCCCCAGGAACCGGCAAGGGTCCTAGGTGGAACCTTCACATGGTGCAGTGTATGCGCATCTGCCACTTGTTCTGTTTTCTTTGACACTGAGGGTTCTGTTATTAAAGTACTGACATATTACCTTACAAAGAGGTACAGGCATTTGGGAGTTTAAGGGTTTGAGATACGGTTTTGAAAATATAAGCAATTAACAGATGAAATAACGCTCTTGGATAAATTGGCTTAATTGTGAAAGGAAAGGGAGGATTTCACCCCCTGAAAGGGAATTAAGAACACCCAAAGGGCTAATTAAGAACATGGGATTGTGGGGACGCCTGGGTGGCTCAGTTGGTTAAGCAGCTGCCTTCGGCTCAGGTCATGATCCCAGCGTCCTGGGATCGAGTCCCACATCGGGCTCCTTGCTTGGCGGGGAGCCTGCTTCTCCCTCTGCCTCTGCCTGCCATTCTGTCTGCCTGTGCTCGCTCTCTCTCCCTCTCTCTTTGACAAATAAATAAAATCTTTAAAAAAAAAAAAAGAACATGGGATTGTGGATTTGCTTGCTGGCAAGACCATGAAAGGGGCAGAAGTAAAAGTGAATCTTGGGCTGTTTTTGGAATTTAACGGTGTCTTCCCAGAGAAATAAGTGCTTGTCTTTGTTTATGAGGTATTTTCTATTTCCCATTATACTGCGTACTGTTTGAGGTCTGAAAGACACTTTGCTGACGCTCAGGAAGTGGCTTCCCCACCAAATGTCTGCCCTCACTCGGAGTGTGGCTGCACCAGGTGCACCGTGCCTGCAGTCAGAGGGAGGCTTTGCTGCCATACTGGTGGTGTGACAGCATGTCCGGCATTCCATCTCTTGACACACCCACCAGCCAAGCAAGATGCTATCTTGCATCTTGGTTGACCAAAAAGAACCAAATGTACTAATTCCAAGTAAAGAATAAGAAAACAAAAACACCTCTCAAATATTCATGGACCTATGACTATGAGGTCTCCCATCTTTTTAGAACATCAAGGCTGCTGGTTTCATTAACATAAAACTGTCAGCAACTTTTTATTAAGTTGATTAGGGAAAAACTTCCTTTGAAGCTTGGCCGGTCCACTGACTGACATCCCACATGGACCAGGCAAGCATTAATGATGGCACTATTGTGTAATGAAGGGTGTGATTCTTGAATGTGAAAAGGCCGTACCAGGGACAAACCACAGATGGGTCTGAAATTTAACAGTCTGGGTGAGACAGGACAGTTGGACTTAAAACAAAAACAAAAACAAAAACAAAAACAAAAACAACAAAACCACTAATTGCATGAATACTTTCAAATTAATCCCACTGAAATCTATTTAGGTCTCTTTTCTTTTTATGTTCCAGGAATATGATTGTTAAAAATGTTAGCTAATTTCTTGTAATCAGTATTTGTAAGTTTAACCAGAGTTCTTCAATAGAACAAGACCAAGGAAAGCCCCATGAATACTATACTTAATGTTGAATAAATAAAGCAAAATAATAAATTTCTAACAGATTGTTCATAGAGGCTTCTAAAATTTTTACAGGCAAATATATATGCAACTAGGGGGTTATAGACTTCCAGAGAAGACGATTTTAAGTTACAGTGTTTGTCAAGTGCTCTTTTGTTTTCTTTGTCTTTAGAGGACTTGGGTCAAGAACAGAGGAAGAGAAGTTTGCTTTCAGCACTCTCTAAGAATTCTCACAATGCCTACAGAAGGTAAGCTAGGTCTGAAAATTTTTGCCATCCAACTCAGGGGCAGACATTACAGAACAGGCAACAGTCTGTTTCCTGAGGAGTCATTTCTACACTGCATGGAATCATCTAGAATTTTCCAACAAATCCTTACTTTGTATGGGTTTCAATTCTGATTTGCATTAAGTAAAAGGCTTGGAGGTTCTTGCACATGACAGAAGTCTTAGGGAGATGTAATCAATCAATCAATCAATCAATCAGTGACCAGAAACTTGTAAAATGTTTTGAGAGGTCCTTGATAGACACAGATTTTACAGGTAACTTAACTGACCATAGCATATTCATTCTAGAAACCAAGGTCTTTAAAGAAGCCTTCGGGGAATGGCATAATTGTCCCTGGCATATTTTGAAACTTCCAACTGCACAGACAAGTCATGAAGCTGAGGCTGTGGTCAATACAGCAACCAAAGTCTCCCACATCTCTGGCAACTGTCCCTCTCTCAGAAACATCTAGAACCTGGATTAGAACCCATAATATTAGGGGTATGGATGCCATCAGCCAAGCCCCCACGATTGGAGAGAAGAGGCTGGGCTGAAAGAGCCATCTTTGTTTTGATATTCCTCCATCCCTCTACATTGACATGCTCACAAAGGTCACTTCTAACTAGTAGAAGATTTTCAGACTGGTGGCATTTTTTTTCTAAAAATAAGAGAAAATACTGAAGGAAAGATCCTGAGGAAGGGATAATATTCCCAGCTATCTCTAATGACTGAAGAGGCTATCTGCTGATTACTGTTAATTAATGCTTCCAAGTAAAAGATTAAAGGATATACTCACAAAATGGATGCATCTACTTGAGAAAACCACTCTATTTCTCTTCACTCATTGTAATTTCTCTCTTCTTTGTATTTGCAAACCTCCTCCCTAACTGGTCTTAAGAGTCACTATCTGGAGCCTAAGACCTGATTCTCAATGTTGAGCTGTATTGACGTAAAAGAATATGGAGTTTCTCTTGATTTTACCTTTCTTATCTTCTGCCTTTTCCTCCAGAGGTGGCGCCTTTTCAGCTACAGAGCCATTACCTTCTTCAGATTTTACTCTATTTTCCTCTCGGGTAGATTCCTCTCCGATGGGTATCATGTGCCCGTTTGAATTTTCAAAGTTAACTGTTACATCTCCATCTAAAATGGGGAAAGAAACACCTAGATGTCTAATTTGATGGCTTTCTTAAAAACCAGTTTTCCAGCTACTAGGACTATAGGGTTTGGGTTCATGTTTCAGACCCTGGGAACCAAATACATCCTACACCATTTCACCATGTTTTACTTAATAATTCATTCCAACGAAAGAGCTAGAAAATCCTTAGTCTTGGGGAAAAGCAGCAATGGAGGGGATATCCCCATGCCCTTTTGGGACAGTAGGGATTATTATCCTAATTATACAATATCCCTGGGCAACGGAACCCTTTTCTCTTCTTGTACTTAGGCTTTGTTGAAGTCAGTACTTAGGAGTCTCTCTGTCATTCACAAACTGAATGGTAAAAGGAGAAATCTGAAAAATGGAATAAACATTTTAACAAGCAGTGAAAACACAAGGTGAATATAAACACACAAATAACATGAAATGTAATTTGACATACAAATGCTTAGAAGGAGGATATGAAAATTTACAACCATCTCTGTCTCACATGATGCATCTGTCATATGGTAACTTTACACAGGAATATAACTGCCACTCTGTATTCAGGGGAAAGATGGCAGCGAGAATAATTTTATTTTCATTTTCTTGTTGATGGACATATTAAAATGTACTCAGGTAACTGTTACATATAACAGACCAAAAGCCTTTAATGTGGCCTAATCATAATCTGGAAACATTAGGGAAAAAAATGTGGGAAAAAAGTAATTACAGAGGAACTTTTAAAAAATCACAAGTGAAAATAAAATTTCTAGTATGTTACCTAAATCAGAAATAACTAAATTTAATTCCTGAACTTCCATAATTTTTAGAAGTTTCTAAAGTGAATGAGATTTTACATAAACTCTTAATTCAGTGATGTTTGAAAAGAGCAACCCTAGATTGTATCTGGAACATTTTAAGAGGCTTTGCTACCTCTGTAAAAAATAATAATAATAATAATGAGTTAAAGTTTTGACTTTGCAAAATTCAAGAAATGCATGATCAGACTATTTTTATGCAGTCTTTGATTAATCTTATTTTGGCAATCATTATAAATAAAAAAGAGGCCATCTCTCAAATTTCCATTAAATATGATTGAACTGCTTGGGCTCAACATGAAATCCATTGGCCTTGTCCATAAAAACAGGCATGACATTTTAATAAGAAAAATATGTATCATGGAATTTTGTCATGCTCAAAATGAAAAATGTATTGCTGAGCCATACAACTTCCAAGTACCTACAATCTGATTCCCTTATAAAAATAAAATAGATGATAATTGAGGGCAATGCCATTATAAATCTTAACTATTTCAATAAAACTAAGGTAATACTTTTTAATAAGTATAGATCAAACTAAAGGGAAACCAAAAGATTCTTAATTCTTATTATTAGATCCCAAGGAATTCGCTATTAAAAACAAGGGAGGGGAGACACAATGCAATGTCCAGATATTAGACATGGGAAAACTGAAAGCTAATGGAAGTATGGAAAATTCCAAATGAAAGAGAAAACCACTTCTTTATATATATATATTAAAAAAGAAAAAAAAAAACCTCAATTTTTAGGCAACCCAAATATAAATTTATCTCTGGTTACCCGGTCTTTAGTTGATAACAAAAACACGCTGAAGTCATGTTAACATGACTTATTACATTACATTATATTAATTATATTTTAACCCTTATTATGCTAAAATTCTTCAGTAGGTTAAATAACTTATTTTAAAATCTCAAACAAAAAAGCTAGAGAGAAAATTAAATAGTCATGGTACAATAAGAAACTGGATTTTCACATAACAGAGTCAACAATGTAGAAAGATACTTACTTACTTTGAGGTCTGAAATAAAGCTAGCCCCTATGAAAATAATGGTAAAAAAAGGAGACTGATATGTGATAAATATAAATTGAAGAATTTATATTCTTCAACAGAGAACTGTTGAATATTCAACATTGTTGAATATATTCAACAACAGAGAACTGATGTTATTAATAATTAACTGGTGTGTGCACTGAAAAAGTTTTCTCATTTTGTGCATAATGGTAGAGTCAAAACAAGCTGAGTCCTTGATATAGTTTATGTATGTAGGTAAAATGCACACACACCTGTCAGCAAAGGAGAGCAGGGGGAGATGCTGAGGTTCTAAGGAACAGGAGCCCTCGCGTGCAAAGGAAAAAGACAGCTCAGGCAAGGTGGCAGGCTTCAAGTGAACAGAGATAAAGCACACACAGACATCAGTGGTGAAACAAGGAGAAGGAAAGTGTTTGGGGGCCTCCCCTCTTTCTGGTCAAATGCGTGTAGCTGGGATACAGTTAACAACAAAAAAAAGAGATGAGGAGAAAGTTCTGTGTGACCACACCGTGAGTGACTCATCAGAAGGTTAAAACATACACTGTGGGAGAGAGAGAAAGGAGGCCACACGGCAGGCAGGAACATCTCCATGCCCTCCTGTTAAAGCTATGGGAAAAGATGGAAGGAAACAATCAGCAAATAAGGAATGAACTTGGACTAGACCTGGGAATTCTCAAGAGAGAAGACCAATTGTTGAACGTTTAGATGGAAGTTAGAGGTTAGTGTAAAAAAGATCATCTAAAAGGATGGGAGTGAGGATATGGGGAGGGATGGGATGAGGTCAAACCCAGGGTAGCTGGAGGGATGGAAAAAGTCTATCTGGCTCCCGAATAAAGGATATAATTGACAATAACTATCAAGAGCGAAGGCAAGGTCAGGAAGATAAAGGCAAAGAATGCACCTTTGCTGGCAGAAGACAGGAGGTTGTCACCAAACACAGCAGCTTCCAGTCTCTGGCTAGAGCTGAAAACAGACCGAAATTCTCAAGATAATTTTTTTTGGAGAAATGACAGAAAACTTTTCTCCAGCCCCTGGCTGAAAAGGGGAAAGACTCTATTTACAATAGGCATCACCAGGAACTTTCAAGGATTAGGTCATTTCTGTAGTTCCATACAGGGACCATGAAAAAGACAGAAAGTAAAATTCAGTAATTTAGGACTTCCCTAAACATTAAATCTGTGACATTATGTTTAGGTGAAAAACTGTTTTGTTTTTATGTTTTAAAACTTTTAATGTTCAGTCTGCAGAAGTTACCAAAAGGTCAACTAGAGTCAGAATTCTGGGAAGTACGCATCAGAGACTGTAACCCATCAAGTAAATAGTTTAACAGATTAGGCAGAACAAGAACCAATCAATACTAAGCATTTCTTTAAGTTGCCCGCTGTCACTTGTTTTTAGAAAAAATAAGCTCTTTTCTAGCTATAATTTTTAATCAGGTAAAAAAGGGGTCTTTAAATCTCTATCTTTCATACTCATTAACAATTTCAACAATAAATTTTCACATTTTTCCTTTCTTTAAACAATTTCCAAATAATTGATACCAAACGATTGCACTGGCCCACCCAGGAGGTGACTGCTCGGAAAGGTGATTGCTCAGTGGATCTGTAATTTCTCTCCTGCCTCCAGAGAGATTAGGGGGGAGACTAATTTTGATGCTGCAAGCACACCCTCCACGAACAAAAAGTTAGGGGTGTGCATTTTTTTTTTTTAATCTTTAAAATTCCCAGACAGGAAATAAATAGTTTCATGGTAATAGAAAATTAAAGAAGACATAATGTTCATTCATAAAACAGAATGAGAAAAATATAATAGGCCAGCGATTGAAATAAAATGCCTAAATTGTAAGGGCTCAAGAAAAATTGCATTATTCACTCTAGATTTCCCTATATTCTTACAAACAGCAGTAAAATAGCAAAGCATTTCCAACCCTCACTCTACAATTATTGAGATGTTGGAAAAAGTGTGTCATTTGGATTTATAAATAGTGAATTCCAAAAGGTGTTCTTTGCAAAGAACATTTACCAGGAAAAGAATTCTGTGATTTTAATTCCAAATTAATAGCACCATATTTGTCCCTTAAAAGTACAGTAATACTACTTTATCCCAGTAAATGTCCAGGGGGTGGGGCAAGGGTAGGCATGAGGTAAATCAACAATTTTGCAACAAAAATTTCCTTTAGTTTTAAGAGTAGGGAGAGCAATGAAAATTATTTGGTATTACTTATTTGGAGAAATAACCAATCTTGGTGTCTTCTTCTGAGGGTCTATCTTGGTTTCTATGTAAGCTTTTTCTTTTTGAGCAAGATTCCCTCTTGGGAGGATAGGGGAAAAAGGGGAAGAAGATTAGGGATAGGGAAAATAAAATGCTTAGAAATAATAATTGTTAGTGAAAAGGTGAAAGGCATTTAGATACAAAGAAATGAAAAGAGAACAATACTAGGAAAATTACTTGAGAGAACGCATAAAGCAGATTAACTTAATTTGTCCATTTGTGCCTTATTGATTGTACATTTGATTGTATTATTGAATATCAAAAACAAAAGATAAGTTTACTACTTTTTTCTCCTTTTTCTTTTCCTGGTAGGCTTATGACACCAAAAGGCAAGAGCCAAGTAACAACACTGCATTTACTCAAACAACTGAGTTAACTTGTATAGAAAGAAGGAAGCTTCAAAACAGAAGAGGAGCCATATAAGCATTTGTATCTTATCTGTATCTTCAGCCCACACCTTTGTAGAGCTTTAGGGTTAGTAGCAGATAGTGAAGGACTTGCCAAAAAGGTCACTGAATTCCTTTTCTAGAAAATCTTAGATTCTCTGTAGCCCACAAAGGCATTCTGAATTAAAGCAAGATTTTCAGAGTGCTGTACTCACTGCTTTATCTCCCAAAGACCATGATCATCTTAAATTCCAAAAGAAAATGAAAGAAAGACCAAAGAATAAAGGATCAAGTTATTTTAAATGTATGATTAATTTCCTCACCTTGATCAGGCAACTCCTTAAGAACGCCCCTTCTTATCAGCTCCTCTCTACTTTGTCTTGTGGATATCTTCCTTTCTAATACTTTTAAAAAGAATAAGCATAAGTAAGAATCAAGTCATTGCTTAAAATAATTATGAAAAACATTTCAAGTAGAACTGAGCACATGTATTCCATTCACCCGAGGGCTCAATCCCCAGTTTTTTGAGCTGTCTAGCAAAACTCATGGTTGGAGTCAACCGAACTCGGTCAAGAGCAAAGGACGGCAGCCAGTGCTCTGAAACCCAGCCTCTGCGCCTGATCCTTCCAATGATGATGTTTGGCCAAGAAACCAGGCACATTATTTCATATCAGCTATAGAGCAGAAAGGTTACTTCTCACTTTGAAATATTCCTTTTTTTAGGCATTCTAAAACACAGGCCTCAATGAATATGCAATGTATACAAAGGATACATATGCTTACATTAAAACCAAACAGACAGACAGATGTTCAGTAGATATTCAGGTAACTCATCTGAATCCCAGAGAAAAGGGACTATTTTCCAGTGTCTTCTCTTTCACACCATCTATCACAAAAGTCCAACACACCAGCTCTCTGTAACTCTTTTCCTTGCCATACTCAAAAGGTCTAGCATGTTCTGGTATATCCCCCCAACAGATCCCAAGGCAGGAGGACAGAGTGAATTCATGCTTTCACGGGCATGTCGTGAGAGATGGGAATCTCAACAATGCCTCTTCCTTTTTCTGGAAGAATTTAAATTCCTGCTACAAGTTCAGAATGGTGCTTAGGAGCTTAGGGTGGGACTTTGATAGCATTCACCTTATATATATATATGTAATATTAGTTTCCTGGGTCCTGCATGTCTAACTCTACCCCCCATTTTGAGGGGCCAAGGTGGTGTGTAAAATTAATATCATCTACTAATCCTCTGAGCCAACACTGTCCGAAGGGTGTTCTGGAAACTTCTCTTCCTTCTAGATGACCTGTTGGAAAAAGCACCTTGACACAGCAAAAAGGGGCCACAGAAAGAGCCCAGGTCTCTTTAGGGAGAAGGAAAGGCACATTGGTGGAGACTTGGTAGACATAGCAGGATGGATTCTGATTCTCCCCACAATTCCCATTTCTGGCCTCAGAATTTGCAAATTCTAGAGCCACAGGTACAATCATTTCAAGATCTAAGCTAAACCCCATTATCCCAGGCCCTGCCCCGGCACATACAGACAGCGCTTATAATGACACTAACAACCTGTTTTTGGGGGTGCTCCAGGCGGTCTGAAGCAAGGACACTTCGAAGACAGAGAGGGTTAAAAAAGGGTGTGCCTTGGGGCGAGAGCTTTGTATGAAGCACCTGAAAGTCTTTGGTAAAGGCATGAACCCCACAGTCCCAAAGCTTAGTCTTTCTTGAAGAAATTGAAATATATTTTTTCCTTTTCTGACAACTAGTAATTGTATATTCCCCCTTTTGTCTTGGTTGCGAGAAAGGTCAGAGTAACATTTGATATTAACATAGATTTCATATGGCAATTCATGGATGATATCCGTTTCCTCCTTTTTAGAGACCTGACTTCATTTGTATTTAATTTCTAGCATACGTGCTCTTTGTTCTCGGTTTTGCCCAACACATTTTGTGGATAGAATAGAATGGAGGGGCGCCTGGGTGGCTCAGTGGATTAAAGCCTCTGCCTTTGGCCAGGTCATGATCCCAGGGTCCTGGGATCAAGCCCCGCATCGGGCTCTCTGCTCATCAGGGAGCCTGCTGCCTCTGCCTACTTGTGATCTGTCTGTCAAATAAATAAAATCTTTAAACAAACAAACAAACAAACAAAAGAATAGAATGGAAACAAACAAGAAAATGAATAAATGAATGAGTGGATGAACAAATGGTCAAAAGAATGATAATTAACACCTTCTTGGTTCAAACGGACACATACACCGAACCTTCCCCTCTTCCTTTGTCACCCACCCCCCCACTCTGCCCTCCTTCCAGAAGCAAGCAGACACACACAGCTCACTTAAACACTGGTTTCAATGGACAAAGTTAACTGGGTGTGGGGGGCCAGCCGGAGCTGTTCTTTTAGGTAAAAAGAGAGCTGTTACTTAAAGACAGCTTCTATTTGTCCAAGCTTTTGTCCAAGAGAAGAGAACTCCTGTCAGCACAGGGAGCCAAACAACACCCCCAACGACACCATGGGGGGCTGCGAACGCTGTGTTGGAGGCTCAGAAAGACACTGACCACTGCATTCAGTGGTCGCTGAAGGACACCTCACCCAGCTCCAAGAGTGTGCGATCTTCTCTCATTAATCAAGGCCATTCTGTGACCTCTGCTTTGGGAGTCTTTAAAAGTTTTCACTCTTGCACCCAAAAAACTGTCTGAGAGCCTAGAACAAATCTCGTTTTCGTTTCTGCCTTTCCAATACAGATCCTAGAGAGGGGATGCTTCAGTTTTAGCTTTAAGCTTTCTGTTGCTTTAAATCTAACTTAATCCCAGTTAAAAAAATCCCTCCTCTTTCTTCCTTGTAAATTCTGGAGCTCTGAAGCAGCAGCCTGGCTTCCTGCCAGGAATCAAAACCCACAGTTCTGTTCTTTGCTCTACCTCTTATAAACAGGTTCTGATAGGAAAATGCACTGGCGATTTGTTTGGTCTTTGGCTGAGCAGGTCTTTAACACATAATGCAGATAACTGTGTCCCGGGCCAATGAGAACAAACTGCAGGCGACTGAGAATGGAAAGTATGTTGCCGGGGCACCAAGTTCCAACCACCATTCTCCCAGAAGAACAAGTATCACACTCTTCATCTTTTAAAATATTCGCCTCATGTTTACATAGTGTCTGTATGTTTGCAGAGCACATTCACTGGACACTTTTTCATAGGCTTGGAAGTGTTCTGCCCTGGAATGAATTGGGAGAGGTCATTTTCGTCCAACAGGGCTGCACAAACAGGAGTCATTTCAGGAACATTCCCAAGAAGGGCTCACTGGCTTTCACATTCAGAGGCAGGATGGCCTCCTCTAGATATCTGTCACCCTTATTCCTGGGAATGTATTCCTCCTAAGGAGTCAGAACCACACTCCCTGTGACTTCGGCAGTTAATCAAGCCCACGGTCCCTATAGCTCTAGAGTAAAGTAAGTCCTTTGTGATGGGGAAATAGTGTGAGTTAGCTCTGTTCTCTCTGAGAGCAAAGTGGGTCATTAAAAGCCTCCTAGAATCTGATGTCGAGTATCCAACCATCTGCTCTTTGACCCTGAAGTTCACACTAATAAGTGTAACAACAGCAATAATGTTGGGGGGCTCCCTCTCACAATTACTGCTGGGGAAGAGACTTAGCGGGGGCACAGATCACTGGACGCAGTAGCCAGGTTTCCCCATGGGCAGTACTATTCCCAGGTGAGTAAATAGCTCATGGGAGCTGACTTTCAACCCAAGCAAAAAAAGCATGTATGGTTTTTACACGAAGATCAAGCAAACCCATGATTTCTGTTTTGCTCCCTGGACTGGGGGAGTTAAAGTTCCGACAGTTCACTTGCAATTATAACAGCATTCATTTTTCTGAGAAGTGAAGGATGCCCTGTGCCCCCATTTTCCTGCCTTCATGCTTATACTCTGGCTTTTCAAATATTTGAAAAGGACCGATCTTTCAAAAGCATCCAATGGCTGTCCATCTCGCTTTGAATACTATTTCTGCTCTTTGGCATGGTCTCCACAATGCCCCCCAGAGGCTGCCCCCACACGATGCCCCTTACCCCCGTGGATCCTTCCCTAACAGCTCCCTCCTGGCTCTCTCTGCTCCAGCCCTGCCAGCTCTGCTGCTTGTCACCTGACATAAGGAGCAAGCCTCCATGTGGTGGCCTCTGTCCTTAACGGGATGGGCTCTCCCAGATCCCCACACAGCTCAGTCCACCACTTCCTTCAACTCTCTGCTCAAAGGTCACCTTATTAGAAATCCCTTCCTCACACACCCACGTAGAATGGCGTGTTCCTCTTTTCGTCTTTATCCATCTTATCCTGCAAAATACATCATCCCCTCCTGAAACGGGACCTGGTTCTTAAGTATGGTGTCGAAGAGAACCAAAATTCTTGTTTTATTTACTACTGTTTTCCCAACAGTGCCTTACAGGTTCTTAGAAAATATATGTGTGTTGACTACATAAATGGATGAAAGAAAATGGGCTGATGATGCTAACGGTCTTGTTTTCTACCCCTTCTCCACCTCTAGGAGAAAGCAAGCGAGGCCTGTGGCAAAACTCAGTGAACAGGAGTCTTCTGTTTTCTGCCTCCTCCACTTGGCCGGGCCTGCCAAAGGGAAAATCCTGAGCTCTCCATCCTATGGCTCATCTGAAAAAGTCTCTGTGCTCTGAAGAAGGAAGGTTACAGTGTGTAGAGGACCGACAGCAGCCAACTAACAGGGTGTAGCACACGACTCGGCTCATCACAAATTTTCAATGATTTATGATGTCCTTCTGGGCGTGGAGCCTGCATTCAGGAGAGGAGGCTGGGGCATATGCCACAGCTCCTTGCCCTGGATGCCTGGCCAGGATTTTATAGTACTCTGGACGTATCAGTAAGAGTAAATCTTGCAGTCAACAAGCCACTTGTGTTTTCTTTTGGCGGGGAAAGAGAGTCCTAATTCTCAATTCTAACACTGTTTAATGATGGAACAAAACAGAAGAGCAATTAGACTATGAAATAAGCACACCATGTTATCTTCTTGGTTCTGAGGACTGAATGGCCTTACTGTACAACTGTGACAGGAACAGAGAACTGCTTGTCTTGTGTTGCAAGTGTTCTATAAGAGCCCGGCTTTGCTTTACCTCTCCTCAATAGCAGTTACAGAAAACAGCAAGGCAAAAAAGGGGCTCCTTTTTAAAAGACCCTTCACGAAAGCGTAGCGAAGTCCTTTAAAGAAACCACCGCCAAAATGCCACCCAAGGGGACACTTGGAAAAACTTCCCAAACAGCTCGAGAACATAAGGCAGTGAAATAAAGCCAAAGTCCCCCACTAAAAATACTCAGGGGTCTGGCCATTTTCGTTTTGATCCGTGTCTCTCCCCTACTTAAAAATCCGACACACTACAGAAAAAGCCC